TAGTCTCTCGAAATTAGCCTTCTCATAGTTTTACGAAACCTTCTTCGGTTTGGCGTTACTCTTCGTCCGCTTCATATTCCACGTGAGATCAATTTGGAATTTCTTTTTTTTTTAGTTTCATACATATTTCGTAGTGATTTGGCAGCCAATCGGCGCCCTGTGCGGGGGTACCTCTCGCACACCCTCACGACACCGAATAATGCATCCAGTTTTGGAGGCCTACAAATAAGAGTGATTTGTTGGCACTCGAGGGGGTGCAGAGTAGGACCACAACAATCGAGGAGATTAGGGGATTTCCGTACGAGAAGCGTTTAGAAGAGCTGGGCCTATACTCGCTCGAGAGGTGAAGGAGGGGCGATCTCATCCAGGCTTTCAACGAAATTAAAGGAATAGGTCATGTCGAGCGTGGTAGGTTCTTCCAGTTCGATGGTTGCGAGAGAACGCGAGGTAATCGACTCAGTTGCGTAAACCGCAGGTGCGGCTCAGGTCGAGACAGGACATTTTCGCTCGTAGTGGTGAACGCGTGGATTGCGTTAGACCAGTGTTTCCCAAACGGTGTGCCGCGGCACACTAGTGTGCTGCCAATAGGGCTTAGGTGTGCCGTGAGATTTAAGAGTTGAAAAAAAAACTAAAACTAAAAATACTGATAAACGGGAGGGATCGCCATCTCCAGTGAAAAACGAGCGAGAGTTAGCAATATCATGCCTCGTATCAAACCGCTGTGATGGGCGAAGCAAGCTCAATTTTCCCATTGAAAGTAAGTAAATAGCTGGGAAAGTACAAGTGTCCTGTGTGCCGCAAATAAAAAAAAAAGATTCGGAACCACTGCTTTAGACGCCAACGTAGTGGCTGCCCCGCGCCGTGACCATTTTAAAGTAGAAACTAGATGCTTTTATAGACAAGCAAAAGGGGGGGCAATGTTGACTTTAATGTTGACTAAGAAGTAAGCAACTAGGATACGTTAAAAAAAAAAATTCACAAAAATAATGTAGCTTTAAGAGGAGTAGGCCTATTCTGAAATTAAAGAACGCTCGACCTCGGCACGTGGTATACAAATAGATGTTATCGCCGCTTGATGCCACTAAACTACCTTGAAGTCTTGACTAAGGTTCACCGATTGAGGTTTTGGCTGAAGCGTCATGACACATTTTTACCCATATCGACACTACGACTCAATGTTGTCAGAAGCAACAAAAATTATTTATGGCATCCCAGGGGTCATCAAAACTGTGATCCTTGAGTCACAAATGTGCCCACCAGTTACAGTTATCCAAGTGCCTGAAGTTTTCTGCTACCTGCTTGAATGCCTGAAGCATCAAATGGGTCGTACCATGGTTAAACAAGGTCATGATGCGTCCGAAATTATATGCACCACTGTTGGCTCACGAGACTCACCGAATGGCACTTACACAACAAGTAAAGGGGGTTGCTCTGTACTGTTTATGGAAATATGAACTAATGTTTCTTGGACCTAGCAGCTAGGGATGTCCTGTCAGTCCTACTCTAATCATAATATCTCAGGAACTTCTGTCTTCATTTAGCTTGAGTTTTTGACCAAAAATGATATTGGGCTTGTTTCTGTGCCTTAGGTGTCCTCAGGGGTTCAAGGAAGAGGAGTACATCCGTAAGAAGCTGCAAGAACATGGAGGACAGGAAACTTAGCCTTAAGAGTCTTTTTCAAGTACTCTTTAATAGGAAAAACTAGAAAAGAATAGTCTGGTGCTCCCATCATCTTTTTCAATTACTTGTGATGCCTCAGACCAATTACTTTTATCTAAGCATGGACTGGCTCACTGACTGGGATAATATTGAACTGTACTCGGTGTTCTTGATATATATGAAGGCTCTTTTTGGTGGATTTGGAAAACGTGTTTCTGTTGTCATGATCTACATTGCACATTTCTGAATTCCAAATGGATTCTTTCTCCTTTTATTTTTCTCCAATGTCATATTGGAGGAAAGTATTCCTGCTAATTGATTTGTGAAATCATCTTTCACCACCAGAAGTTCAACATAAATGCTCACTATCATGGATATTCTCCTCTAGAATTGGCTTTTTCAAGCTATTCTTGAATCGTTAACCCTTATATGGGCAAGATATTTTTGTGACACAAACGGGCAGGGCAAATTCTAATAATTTTTTTTCCTAAAAATAATAGAAACTTAAAAAATTAGTTTTGGGATCTTTGGATAACTGTCAATGAAAGCCACATTAAATTTGTAGACATTTGAAAAATTTGCCAGAGGAATGCAATGAAACATACGCTGAATGGATCCCTGTTGCTTGGATAAGGTACCAATATGCTCTGGAGAATCTTTGCCTTTTTGGTACCAAGGAAAAAAAGTTTCCAAGTTCCTTCAATTAATAGATGAGTAAATTGCAATAGTTGCTTCAAATCCTCTCTGGAGAGGGTTCTTAGCAAACAACATCATGGAAAGTCACAAGGCTATTTTCATTTGTGAGCTGGCATTGCAGAACTTCAGCTACATCTTCAACTTCAGTGTAGTTTAATAACTTATTAGTTTTAGAAGTTTATATCAGTAGTTGGAACAGAGATATCACAAAAATGAATTATAACCAAGGTAGCAAAACCTACATACACCTTTCTTCTCACTATGACATAAGTCACTGGGCAGACCTGGCAAGTAAAGCATTGCCAATATAAATAGGAGGGGAGACATGTTCAAATCCAGCAAATGACTAAAGGATCTTTCTGCACTTTCTTTGCCTGGAAGCAGGTCACTTCTATGCTTCAAGATTCCTTTGAAGAAAGTCCAGTTGCACTTCATGATATTGCACGTCGGTACCGTCCACGCACGAACCCGAGTAGCGAGAGGAGACTTCACTGGTTGACGGCAGGTCCAATGCGGCTGTGCCGATGGCGGCGAAACGCAGTCGTGCCCCGGATTTCTTGCTCCACTGGATGGGAGTACACATCTGCATACAGTTCCTCGAGAGAGATCTCCTTGTCCCCTTTCGCCTGCTTCACTGCCTCATCCACTACCTTTCGCACCTCTTGCTCTATTGCCTAAATTTAACAGAAAACCAAGTCACAGTGAATTGATCTTTAACTAAGGCAGTGGGTCTCAAAACTGGGGGGGTGTGAGCCTTTGGGCAAGAGGGTCCCAGGGGGTGCAACAGGTCATGGGGGTTTTAGATTTTTGTGTTTTTATTTACTAGTGTTCAATTTCAAAAATTACACCTGATAGGGATTATTTCATTTTTGCTAAACTAAGGTCTTCCCATGTAAGCTTTTCCATTTTGACAAACATATTTTTAGATGAGTTCAGCCAATCAGCCCTTACAGATGAAAATTATTTTCACTCATTGAGAACCAGAGATGTATCCATGCAAAATTTCATTTCACAAGACTACTTAGTGTTTTCTTGAGAATTTTTGAACCTTCCAACAGTGGCCATCAAGTACAGGAGGCTAGGAGTCAAGCCATATATGTATGTGTATGAGAACAGCAGGTAGTTTGTAATCAGAGCAGGAGGGTTTCCATACTGGGTCAGAAAGCACTTCCATGGAAAAGGCATAGTGGCCTTCTTCTCATATAAACTTAGATGCATGCAGGGTCTCAGAATTGGGGGCAGCCAGAGAAGTGAAGAATACACCATTCCAAATAAGAAGTGAGCAGAAAAGACAGAACCCATCCATCTTTCCATAATTACCTTGTGAAGACTCCTGCAAGAGTCCCTTTCAGTATTGTATACTGAATCAAAGAAGATGGAGAGACACAAAACAGTTCGTTTTTAGATTTCCTTAGAAGTTTGCAAACCTCACCCTGACTGAGTGTGGGTGATGACTCTGATTCAGGCACAGAATTTCCATTTCCCACTTTTAAGCCTAGGGTATCATGAGTACCCTTCTCAAATCAAAGGAAGAATTTCTTCAGTTCTACTATATCAGCTCCTTCAGTCATTGTAGCTTTTCCCTTCTTGACACCACTCAGGAATATAATGGTCTTCCAGTAATCCTAACTATTATTAGATCTTTTCATCATGGCCTCACCACTAAGCTTCACCACCTCCTTTTGGAAAAAAGGATGCAATTTAGACTTTCTCCATTTCCCTATCTTTAAAAACGTTGGGATCACATTCCCAATGTTTTGGATTTCAAGTCTATACCTCAGCCTTTTCAACTTTTTCCATATTGAGGAAAAACTTAATTTTCTACATTGATCTCAAATTGCAAGGTTTCCAGCATTTCCCTTCAGGTAAGAGTTGAATGTTCATACTGTACCTTAAGTTCATCCAGCTCCACAAGCTCATGGCTGAGAATCCGCTCCTTGAAAGACGTGATGGGATCTCGTGTTTGGCGCACTTCCTGGATCTCCTCCCTCGTTCTGCAAACACCATTCCATGATAGGCCAAAGGAAATAATTGAAAAATTTTCACCAACTTATTTAATGCCAGAAGCAATGGCAAGAAAAATATAAATAAATGAAAACAACAAATGAATTATGTGAAAATGATAATTCGATGCTGGTGACTTGACTTCACAAATTACAAGCTAAACCAGCAGGAAAGGTATTTAAGTGAAGGGTTATGTAATAAACATATTCTTCCATGGGCAAAGGCAAGATACCCTCAAAGATGTGAAACATTTGAAATTTAAATGATCCACAGTTTCATTTAAAAGTCAGAACAAGGAACGTCATCATGTCCACATCATACAGAAACTTCTTTGCAAAAATTCATTAACTGATGAAAATCTGACCTATTCATGTTTTTTATTGAAGCTAATAACTTTTATTTCACCTATCTACTCAATGAAGTTAGGAATCCTAGGCTTCTTAAACTCTCTCCAGTTTCTACTTTCCTACAAGGCATTTCTCCTGTTTCTATTGTGTTTAAAATGAGCTTATGTTAGTGCAGGAATGAAACTTCATGCACATACACCCTGGAACTAGACTCCTCATCATTACATCCCAGGGTTCTCCTCAAATTGTAGGGATTCAATGGATTGATGTATTATGGCTTCCAAGTCCTGCTGGGAATAAACTCTCTCTCACAAACTTCAAACTTTACACGAGATCTTCTTCAACCACTCCATCATCCACCTCCTTCATAACTGATTATTTAATTTTGTCCTTTTCCCCTGAAGTAACCCTGTCACAGAACTTTGATCATACTGTAGATCTGTTTGATCTGTTTGATTCTCCCATTTGAGGGGAAGGGGACATTTTGATCTCATCGTTATTTCCTTAACATTTCCAGGCCTGAGGGAACCCAATCTATGGACTGATGGGATGCTGATAACAAGCATTCATTGAACAAGGTTGTGACAGAACATGTCAAGGGAAGTGGAGAAGAGATCTCAGAGCAAGGATGGGGAGAGATGGAATCTCAGAACAGAAGAGACCCTACCGGTAGGAGGTCCCCGGGTCGGACATGCTGTGGCCGGAATAACGATACGTGGCAGCTTCCATCACGAGAGGGCCTTTCCCTGACCGGCAGTACTCCAATGCCCATGCTGTTGCTTCTCTCACTGCCACTACATCCATCCCATCCACCTGTCCAGCCAGATTATAGTCAGTGACAGTCTTTCATCAACAATGCTAACTTCCAGGTCAAAATCTACAAAAGGAGACAAATTGGAAATGGAAGAAACAGAGAGAAATCCCCTCCCATCAATGCAGACTTTGGGAGCAAATTACAGAGGATATGATATTACAAAAAAAGGGCTTGCCATGATCTCTTCAATATATATCAGAGAAAGGAGTCTCATGGAATGAGATGTGAAAAATGGCGAAAATTACTTTTAAATGTTTTCCAATCCATTCAAATGGAGGTTCCGAACAAGTATGAAAAAGACAGACATGCATCAGAAACATAGAAGCAATAAGCAAATTGTATCAAGGCAATCTGTACCCACCCAGGCCTCCCAAAGCAAGCTTTAGAAATTCATCTGGAATGAAATCTGTCTCTGAAAAGTTGTGTGTTGAACTCTATCTGAGGGTTGACCTAAAAATGCCTCTGATTTTCTCTACTGCATACTACTAGAGGAACAAGCTTGAAAATGCATGTGCAGACACTTTCAAATGTTCTCCCATTCCTTGTAAAGTTTTATTGTTCCTAACCAGATAGCTCTGCCACTGTGGTGATTCAAGACAGTGGAGTGTGACAATGCCCAGCAAAAGCAGAGAGCTGGAATTGAATTCCATTCAGGTGAAGGAGTATCACCCGCAGACATTCATTGCCTCATGGAGGTTATTTCTATGATAATGCATGTGTCAAGGTGAATTTTGTGCACCACTGGGTGAGTTGCATGAACATTCATAAGACAATGAGGAATGTTGATCAGCAGTACTATTTCACTTGGGCAAAATTCAATTGCTGCCCTGTGTTCCAGACAGTTTATGCCACACTCTGCTGTTTTGATTCTACACAGGAGCAGTATATTCTGGATGGGATTCACAAAACTTTATGAAGAACTGGAGGACATTTGAAAGTATCTGCATGTACATTTTTGAGCTTGTGTCAGTGGTAGCTTGCAGTAGACAAAATCAGAGGCATTACCTTAACCATTAACCATGTATGTAATTTCATAATGCCCTAAAGACGGCTTACTAAATGTCATGAAGATAACTCAGCTGTTGCTTTTGCCATCAATGAGAATAATACCAAAAGATAAAATGGTAAGTTAGTGAACCAACAATAATACTAAGTAAGGGAGTTGATAACTCCTCATCAGAAGTAACAGAGAAAACCTATTGGCTTGGGGCATTTTTGGGTTTGGACATTTATGAGATGACTTTATGCCATCCTACAAACTTTCAATGTCAAATCTGACTTCAACTGCACATTAAGCATCACTTCCTTGCTTATGAGTATTTTGCCTTAGCATCAATTTAACAAATTATGGCAGACATTCTGAACATTTGCCAATATCTCTTGATGAAAATTCAGGCACCTTCTGAGTTACTGCGATAAGATTAAGCTTTTTTGAATATGAGGCAAGCCTGTTCAGACTCTCATCCTAACCAATGGAAGTTAGTTTTTGGATTTCAATACTTCATATATATTTTTTTGAGTGGCTATTTCTTAAGAATTCGACTGATCTTGGCTCTCCTGCAAATGGACCATAAAAAGAGCAATAAATGTTACATCAGTACAGGCTTCAAGTGTTTGAAAAGTGGCATTCTTTTGTGCTTCCTCTAAAAAAAATTAGCTGCCCTCCTAGGCTGTGAATTAAGGCAGTGGATAGACAATACCCAGATGCCAGGGACATAGTCCCCCCTGGTGTAGTAGGCAGTGTTGGCAGAAGCTCTCTCGGCACTGGTCCCCATCCCGTAGCCGTTGTTCTCGCAGATGAAGATGCAAGGCAGATCCCACAGCTTTGCTATGTTCATTGCTTCAAACAGCTGTCCCTGATTTGCTGCCCCATCTCCATACAAAGTCAAGGACACCCCACCATTTCCCTTGTACTTGTGGGCAAATGCTACCCCTGCACCCAAAGGAGCCTGCCATGAAGAAGAAAAAGACAAACAGTAACCCACTAGGAACATCCTATTGCATTCTAACATGAGCTGAAGAGTACCAACCTGGCTATCAAAGATCACAACCTGGCTATCAAAGATCAATCTAAATCAACCAAAATCCAAAGACTGACACATTGATAGCTGGGGGAATACTGAGTCAATCATCAAGCAGTTAATAAAAGCACACATTCAACATTAATGGCTAGAGAAGGCATCAATAGTCAAACCAAAATTGAAAGGTCACAAGAAATTATTCTGATTCTTCATTGACCAACATCTATAGATGTGACAGCCAAATGAACATCTGGGATTTTCTCTACCTCTACCTGCACTGATGCTTTTGGAAGGATTTGATTCTCTCCTCCATTTTTAAACAATGAAACAGAAATGAGAAGGGAAAATCCTGGTTGTGCCACTGATGACATAGTGGACATGGCTAACCAGATTTTGAAATATTGTACCTGGACAAGAAAACTGGCATGCTAGCTCTAGTGAATATCAAGTGTCTAGAAATTCTAACTGAGGAAAATTCCACTATTATCAATATGAACTTCCTCTGGTAAAATTCCATATTAATTTCATTTTTATTAGGGCTGTACTGATGGCCACATTTGGCCAGTGGGTTAATTTTTCCCTCAACCATCAGCCAGTGCTGGTGCAGATTGTGGCCTGTAGATGAAATCGCCTGTAAATTCTAATAGGTTTAATTGGAAGCCATGTGATACCCATCAGTAGGTCTCCTTGAAACGATAGAGACAATTTTTGGTCCTGTCCAGCCTGTCTGTCTCTCTATAAGCCTGTCAGTGATTAGCTTGTTACCATTGCAGCTGTTGAGGGCATTTAATGACATACCTTGCAAAAGCATGACATTGATGAAGATGCAATGATTTCCCATTCTTTACTGCTATCTTCCTCCGTTGGTTCCTATAATCTGGCTGGAATATAATCTGATTAATATTTTTGTCTGGGAGAGGCTGGCAGGAGTGGCTTTCAGTGAGACAGGAGGGCCAACATGTAGCTGCATTCACACCCTCAAGTAATTTTTTTTTTTTCTTTACCCATCCTTTGGGCACAGGCACTAGCACCATAGACAGATGGCACCATGAGTACAACATAGGCAGCCAATACCAGTGTTAGCTGATACATCAGTACAGCCCTAATTTCTATATATTGCCTTCCACTACATTACCAAAATACTTATTTTTTACTGCTTCTGCTTTGGTTTTCTGCTACCAAACCCGGATATCATGAAGGTGCATCTGAGACAACCAGATATGTCTACCATCTGGGCATTATTGCTCAGAATCCCAATCCTTTGCTGGACCAACATTAAGCTCCACATCCATTAGAAGGATGTGGCAATGCAATCAACTTCTCAGATAACTCACACAATGTTTTCCACAGAAATTATTACTCGCATCCATACCATCAGTAAGAGTGTGATAGGTCACCTGGGCTCCAACGATACCATTGCCGCCAAAGAAGTTGTGGGTATACATGTGCATGGAACCACCTTTGCCTCGGGCACAGCCACTCTGCCTTCCTGTTAGCTCGGCCAAGATCCCTAGCGGTGAAACCCCCATCATGTAAACCCATCCGTGGTCGCGGTACGCAGTGATCACGGTATCTTGGGGCCGAAGGGCTGCCCGCATTCCCACTGCCACTGCCTCCTGCCCAGAGTACAGGTGGCAGAACCCACGGATCACCTTCTCTTTGTATAGATTCCCCGAAGCCGTCTCGATGCGTCGGATGTAGTTCATGGACTTGTAGAGACTCAAGGCATCATCATGGGTGAGAGTCCCTTCCTCTGGGGGACCTTCCTCTAGCCTGAACAACTTGCATGGCTACAAAACAGGTCATACAATATCAATACTAAAGATGCAGCTTCCTGGGCAATAATGTAATTGGATACTCAATCTGTAGATTTTTGGGCATGTGGGTAGTTAGGTGTTGGCAGAATAGTTGAATAGTTGAAAAACTTGGAAATGGTACAAAAAAAGTTGGAAAAAAGAACTCGTTGAACCTTGGAAAATAGAATATAAGACTAATTTTCTCCAGGTTGTTTTTGTTGTCCTCATATTGAGAATCATTATAGATACATATATCAGTGATGAGCAACCTGCAACTTGCAGGCCACATGCAGCCCACTAGGTCCTGTTGGATGACCCATGGGGCTTTGTTTATTGAAATTTTTTTGCCCTTGCCCTTCATTCTCAAAATTATATTTTAAATATATGGATTTGGAATTTATATGGATTTGTCTACTTGGTTCAAATTATTTATGCACAAAATAAGTCTATGGGTAAGGAACTATGAACAAATAGTCAGGACAATAGCAGATATGGCTTACCTTGTTGAAAGGCAGAGTCTTTTCTGTTGCCAAAGTCCGTACTCCAGCAGATAAAGGCCATCCAAGGACAATGGGCTGGGAAAAAATGGCAATATCAAGGCCTTTAAAAGGCCTTGCCCCAAAAGCAAGCAAAGGACTAAGAATGGCATTACATTTTGCTATAAAAGAGGGAAAATTATCAATTTTTTGTTTATTTCTGGTCCTTTCCATACAAGATAAGCAGTAAAAGAGGCTTGGCTTTAGTTTCATGAGAAGGTCCTTGAGCCATCAATTGACACATTCAAATTTGTTGTATTTATGAGATGGATTCTCCCTTAGAATGTTAACACAAAGAATGTTTTTTTTAGTCCTCTATCTTCATCAGATGACAAAGGTATCTTTGCTGTTTCTTGACACTCTCACAAATGCAGTGTTTCTTGTTTAGAATCTTTTAAAAAGAGGTATCCTATTAACATGCTTCAGCAACAAGATCTTGGACCCTTATGATAAGATATGGACCCTACTGTCAGAATTACTCACAACTCTGTGTTGATATCTGCATCATCTGCATCTGATATCAAGTCCAAGTTCAATTAAATTCGCAAATATGCAACCCAAAGAAATCACTTTCTCCTGGGTGTGGGTATGGGAATCATATGACATTTCACATGCATGTATATTCCTTCTTCACCCCTGGAAGCAGACAGACATGAAGGGTGTATAGTAGTGGCCATTCAGAAAACTAGGTCAAATGATGGCAATCTCAACAAGCAGTTGCTGCTGATGAAATAATTTTCTCTCAACTCTGGAAAAAGAATAGTCTCTTATTTAAAACAAAATTATACAGCAATTTATGAGTAAAGGAATGACCCTTTCCAGTTAAAGTAAAGGAAACATATGAGACTTTTCCATAGATGGATGGATGCTAGAAAATAGTAGGTCATGGGAGGGGCCAGAGCAGGTCAGCAGGACCTCCTTGCTTGCTTTATGGGAAATCCTGGTAAAGCATTACATTATGAAGCAGCTATTGGTGAAGATATGGGAATCTGGAGTATGGCCCATTTGTCACTCAGTCACTACATTACAAAAGCATAAGGATGAATTGCAGGAAATCCTTTAAAAAATACCTGCCGAGGAAGAACAGAGGACAGAGGTGGGAGCAGTTTCAAAAGCATCGCCTGTGCTGTCTTTCAAACTGAGATGAAGGCCTCCTAGATTAGATCACCTAGTTCAAAACAACTCCAAAATCCTGACAGTGGTGGAGTCCCAGATGGGCCACTTTGCATATCAGTGCAAGAACTGTCAGGGGTGGTGGAAGGACTTGCACTCACTCCCTTCCAGAGGATCAACCTTATAATGCAAAGTGAAAACCCACTTGTCAATGAAGAAATAAAATCAATTCACAAATAACCACATGGATGCCTTTCTCTATGGAAAACATGATAGAATTCTTCCATCTCCCATATGAAATCAACAGGACTTAACTGACTGAAATTTCATCAGAATAGGAAAGAATGTTTCCTTTTGCACGAGCCTTCCTTCTGGTTTCACAGAATTGGCAAGACAATTGACAGTGTTCATCTGCCTGGCCACAACATGATGTTTGTCCTAGTCCAAGGTCATACAATCATGGTGCCCAGTCAATTGCAGGGGTTGCAATGTCAGACTCTTACTATTAATAAGCTACTTTTGGGCTTATTCAATTGACTGTAACACTATTATTGATATCCAATAGCTGAAATTCACATAAGGGATTTCTTACACTAGGCCTATTCTGCAGAGCATAGACTCTCTCTCTCCACGACTCTCTCTTGTGATATATTTAACACAGACTGGGCAGCCCTCCTGGCATTCGCTTTGGACACCAGCTTCATTAGGGCTACCAAATAATAAAGTGGGAACCGGAATGGAACTCCCTCAAGTCGGCACCCAGGTGCTGGCATGACTCATTAGGCCACCAGTATACCCATATGCAAACAAACTAGACATAGTTTTCACGAAGTATGTTATTATTATGTTGCGCGCGGGGTAGTGAAGGGGCATTTCCCATGAAAGAAGTAACATCGGGTCTATGGATCCCAAACGAATAGCTGGTGCTAATTCGTTTGCAAATCACATCACATGTCATTTGCTCCCCCCACACGACCTCTAGTTTTGGGGGAAAACTCTGAAAGTTCTCATACCGAAATGACATGGTTTTATTCCCTACACACTCAATAAAATGGTCATCACCATATTGCTTAATCCTTTCAGAAGCACAGAGAATGTGTCTGATATGCAATTCAAATCGTGGGTCGCTTCTATATTTCAAACCGTGCAGGGACGAATTTCACGCATTACCTACAACAAGGCATGTTATCCACGCAGGCCAATAGAAATTAAAGTTCAAAAAGTTCAACGCCTAACGTGAAACACCTAGTTCTATACTCCTTTGTGGAAGGTAGCTTGCCAGACGATGGGAGATGGGCCAGCTGGTCCCGGTCGCCGTCGAGCGAGTCGCCATTGGTCGCAACTCTTGCCATCTCTTCGGTCATCCGTGAGTGACATAGTGAGTAGCTCTTTCACAAGATGTCGCGACAATACAACCAGTCGTTCTTCAGTGGTTGCTGCAGCAGCGTGAGTGTAAGGGTGTAAATTAAGAAAATAGCCATAGCGATGATTTATCGTGCCCGTACGTCGGCTCGCTGTCGACTCATGACTGCCTTCTTCGGGTCCTGTTTATCGCTCCTATGCGTGCTTCCACGTGAGAAGTGAGATGAGGAAGGCTGCGGGGCGTGAGGCTTTCGTACCAGCCGATGGGCAGGTCGACGAGACGAGAAAAGTGTTCCCTCTCGGACGACGACGCGCAGGGCCGAGCCACTCGGGTTATGGAAAAAAAAAAGGACTGTTAACCTACGCGTCTCTGCTCCCATTCGAAGTTCCTGTGCGCTGGCGGTCCCTTCCCGGAAAAAAAAAGTCATGTCGAGGATGCACGAGTACTATAGGAGAGGTTTACTATATTTCGTACCTCGTTTTTCCGTGCCTATCCCATTGCGACGCCCTCGAAGACCAGAACGTTTCGACCTCGCTCGCTCGTGCACGTCGAGGGATCGACACGGACGGTTCGGGGCATCCGAGACGATCGAGAACGGATGGAATCCGTGGTGAAACTCTTGCAACGGCCGTCCGCGGCACGAACGTCGACGTGGATTACCATCTTGGGACGAAGTCAGACCGGTGGAGGGAACGGAACATCGGCGCCGCGTCCCACTGTCGACGGAGGCGCTGCCCCGCCCGTCTTCGGGGGTGGGCGACTCGTGGAGCTTCGCAGAGCGAGAGAATCGGAGCGAACAGAGGGGTATTCGCACTCGTTACCTCATCGGTACGCGTGTCGTGGCATCAAGAACCTGGAAGCAGGACGAGATGTGTAAACGTGTAGATGAAAGCGGGAAAGAAGCCTTCGTCTTTCTTTTCTTCGAGGGATCATCCGAACAGTGGCATACGAAGGGGAAGGATGAAAGCCTCCGAACGGGAACATTAAATTCGTGCTGTGGCAGATATAAGGGATGAGGGAGGGGGGAAGGGGAGGGACTGAGAATTCACATGTACACGTTTTACTAGTGTCACGATATTGTATATAGTGTATTTTTTTTTGCTTTAATCCGTAGACCTGAATAAGTGTATTTTCTCGGATTGACGCGAGATGGCGCCTCTGGCGCCACGTTATTTACCACACTTTAAACCGGTACTTATTATGTCTAAATATCCGATGTGTGGAGGGTAGGATGGGTCCCCGAGTACCACCATTATGTCGGGAGTCAGGAGTGTTTCCACCGGCATCCTGAAGGAAGTGGATAAGAAGTTAAGCGCGAGGAAACAGTGTACACCCCATAGGGAGGTTGAGCCGAGCGGGCATGACTACCCGAGGAGGGCCGAGTTTCGGAGAGCATTGGGAAGCTGTGGAGAGCTCAGGACCGCATTCGCAAACCGAGGCAACGAGGTTCCTTACCCTCTACGCCCTCGTGCCGAATCACCGTCCAGACGGTAAACTTGCCCGGCTCGGGTATTGTCCCTGTCCCCTGTGTCCCCGTTCGCGTCTGGTAATCGCGGTCGATCCTCGGTTCGCGTGTGCTAAAGCTTTCTTGGTTGTTACCTTCAGTTGCTTTACGACGGGCCAGATTGCCCTGATTGGTCTGACATAGAAACTAAGTTGTGTTGCTGCACCCAGTGTCTCACATTAAAGTTTGGCTGCATCTACGATCTTGAGTTTTCGTTGGGTTCGCCCCGCTCCTAAGGCCTCCTTTACGGCCACAGCTACCACAAGTGTCGGCATCCGGTCCGCGGACTGGAGGACGGACCTCGCCAGTACCCCGCACGACTCCGGATTCAGTACTCCGGGCGGGTACTTGACGATATAGGCCGCCAAGACCGTCACACTAGCAAGAGCTTCCAGAGAGATCTATGAGAGGTGAGGACTATGTCTACATTATCGTTGCAATCTTAGAGGCAGTCGTGTGCCGACCGATAAAAAAAAAGTGGTGCCAGCACCCTCCCCTCTCACCCTGCTTCCTTGCTCCCGCTGAAACAAGTTCCCATTAGACTGGAACCACGTAGACGGCTTAATTTGAGGGAACGATATTGTGGGCTCCATCGGCATCGGCCTCGATCCCGATCGTGCTCGGTTCCAGGATTCGATCTAGAAGAAAACGGAGACAGGGGGAGGAGAGGCCGAACGAGAGGCAGAGAGGAGAGGAGAGGGAGAAGAACATGCGTCTAGCGACAGACCGTCGCCAGCCAATCAGAACGCAGCTCCTGTCTGCGTCATGATTCACGGGCTTCCCACGGATCTCGAACCCATCTCCTAGACTCAAAGTGGAAATATGGAAAATAATATGCTCATGGTGTCATGTGGTCTTCGGGTCAAGGTATACCGATCAAACTTGGATATATTTTTTTAATTCCCACTGTATTAGGTGTACTAGTAATGAGTCGTTATTTATTGAATATGTTTATCATGGATTCCATAGAGTTCTAGTTCCTCATCTGAATCTGATGTCCTTTCCTGGACTCGGACATTTCTATTTTTTAGTCCTTGTTCAAAAATGAGCAGTCATGGGTGAGGGTGCTAAATGTTATGTCATGGAGTCATTCACTTAAAAAAATTAAAAGTTTAAACGATGCAGCACAATTAGATACGCCTCAGTACGCGTAGGTGTGAGGAAGACAAAGGTGCGAGAAAAGGTTTGTGGAAGACCTCTCAAAATGTTGTTTGCCTTAAACCGACTGCATGATTTTCCTTGTTTATGGTAGAATAGAATAGAAATTAAAATAATTTAAACAATCTAGCCTTTCAGGCTGGTGCTCATGATTAAAGGCATTTTTGAGCTTGGGTTCAACAAAGGACAACCTATCAAATGATATATATAATAACGATGGACACCCTGTACATCATTCTAAGAATTTTCTTCAGCTGAATATGCGGTCAGTGATAAACCAGGTCTAAGTTCTCCACTCAGGTCTCAGGATGGTCATGTCGAACCATGAAAGGTGTCGAGTCCAGGGGCCAGTTGCGTTACCTCAGTTAAGTCAGACTTTCGCGCAAAGTCTGCCTTTAGGAGTCTGTTTACCATGCTTCCTAAAGCTGACTTGACGGAAAGCTTGACTTGACTGAGGCAGTGCAACTGACCCCTGGTTCGACACACGGCTGCGCAATCTGCAAAGGTCACGTCGAGTGTTCAAGGGAGTCTAATGAATGTGGAACTCATACCAGGCGCATGCGCAAAGAGATCACATTCTGATTGGCCGGAGACGGTCTGTCACTAGACGCATGTAAAGGAGAAGGCCTAAGAAGAGTCAAGATTCAAGATTCAAGATAGTTAGTGATATCAAGAGGTGATTTCGCCCATTTCGATATCACGTGTCGAGGTCGAGCGTTCCTTAATTTTAGGGAGGCATAACCCTCTTAAAGCTATATATTTTTGTATTTTTTTTGTTTTTTGTTTTTTGTTATTTGACTATCCTAGTTGCTTACTGTCTAGTACCTAACGTCAACATTGCCCCCACCTTTTTGCCTGTCCATGAAAGCATCCAGTTTCTGCTTAAAGATAGTCACAGCGTGGGGCAGCCACTACTTCTTCATCAAACGCATTCCACGCGTTCACCACTCTGCAAGTAAAGAATTCCTGTCTCGACCTGAGCCGCACCTGCGGTTTAAGCAACTCAAGTCGGTTGCCTCTCGTTCTCTCGCTGCCATCAAACTAGAAAAACCAACCATACTTGACATAATCTATTCCTTTAATTATCTCGAAAGCCTGGATCAGATCGCCCCTCTTTAACCTTCGTTCGAGCGAGTACAGTCCCAACACTTCTAAACGTTTCTCGTATGATAGTCCCCAGACCTCCTTAATCTTTCTTGTGGCCCTCCTCTGTACTCCCTCGAGCGCCAAAAATCGCCCTTATTTGTGGGCCTCCAAAACTGGATGCAATATTCCAACTGGGGTCTCATCAGCGCCGCATACAACGGAAGTATAACGCGCGATGTCCTACTTGCAACCGAACGACGAATGTAACCTAGAATCCTGTTGCGTTTGGCCATCTAATTGGCGATCGCGATGAAATTTTGCCAGTCACCATCGAAGACATCTGTCTTCTCGTGATAAAAGTAAAAAAGGTGTATCGGAACTGGAAGTGCCTCGGACTTAACAACTTTCTCATCACGCCACGTAGAAGTCCGACCACCGTGAAACTTGGCGTGCAGATAGACATGGACGAGGTAGGAGCTAAGTTCGTTTTTGGACGGACTCGTGTCAAAAAAAAAATTCAAAAATCCCAAATTTTGAATTTGAACTCGGCTGGGAGCTGAAAAAGTACTCGCAACCGTCGGCTTTCCCGGACGAGGACCTCGAGACGGCATGCGCATCGCTCGGCTCGGAAGAGGATGTCGTGTCGCGAGCTCAAGTGTGGTTCGGGGGCAGCAGTTCGTCGACTCTCGTCTGAACAGATTTTACGAT